TCTGTCGTGGCACGGTGCGGCGCGCAGGTCCAACAAGGTAAACCTTAATCCTGCTTTACCATGGTAATACCATGTCAGACGAATTACTGAGGTATCAGTGCCGTGCCTTCTGTTCACTCCCGTGATTCGTGGCTCAAATTACCATGCGAGAATATGGTTTCAGTTGTTGGAAAAGCAGCAAATTACCTCTGTGTTTGAGACTCACTACTGTGTGTTACCGACTTGGGCGCATGCAAGTTCCTTGTATGAAACAGAGAGATCTGAGCTGAGAGGCCTCGGAGCTATTTTCATACACTTGGCCTGACAGTCTGTCAAAAAGACCACAAGCTTTCATATGGAGAGGTTGAGTTATTCACAGCAGTGCTGAATTCAGCGCCTGTGGCTCAAAACTCTGGTGCAGAATTGCACATGGTTGGTTGACTTTGCTCTCAGTTTGCTGCTGCAGGTACCTGCCTGTTCCCCAGCTTGTTCGGCAGGAGGGAAGAGAGCAGAGATGGGTGATGCACAGGACATGTCCCCAGCATGCTTCTCTCTGATGCCAAGGTTTAGCAAAGGCTGCAGTATTGCAATCCTGAGCAAATATTCGTGTGTCTGGGTACATGGCAGAGATTTGGGCATGATTGTGTTGGGCACTGACAGCTTTAACATATTTGCTTTGGTTGTGTCTCCCAAGCCTGTTCTAATAACTGTGGAAATTATGAGGGGTCCATTAAAAGGGCTTTGACTGCATTTTCCACGCACTTCCTTCACACTTAACTAAAACCACCCTGTGAACAGCAAAACACAAGGAAAAATTTCAGGAAAAATTTCATTTTTTTAGGGAGGATTTCACTTGTACCACGGAAATAAATTATAATAGAATCAAATGACAGTCATTTTTAAACAGTGCTTCTAATACAGAGGAGGTTCTGAAATGTAACATATCACTAGTGTAGAAGGAAAACAAGAACTAATCTATGGTTTCACCTATCCAGAAAAGCACTTGCAGGATGGCAGAAGGTGACAGGCAATGTCCTTGTGCAGTTAGCCCCAGAAGCAGTCAGGAGATGAAGGAGAGGTAGCTTCAGACTCTTGAGTTGTGGCACTACCCCATGGAGCCACCAATTGCAATTGCCAAAGCAATAACACTTTCCTGATTGTCCTGGAATTAATGTTAGTGTGAGCAAAATTGGTTTATCTGGGGCATAATCATATTGTTGCACATTTCAGATTAGATTCACGTGAAAATTATGACTTTAAGCTTGTCTGCAGCATGTGCTGCAGATTTGGACTGGCAAGTGCATCCTCAGGAGTGGGTGTTTGTGTCTTTGGGTTCAGCCTGGCAGTTTTTGGCGGAAATACGGAAATGCTATGCACAGTTTTGCGTGTTGTATAATGTGAGAAATGGCAGCCAAGAGTGTGTAAGTCCCTGATTCAGCTGGTGCTAATGTATTGTTATTCTTTAAAATGAAGATTTTTAATAACTGGAACTGGATGGATCCTTCTCTTGCCTTGTCAGCTTCAGTACAGACATCTCTGAAATAACATGCATAACTGTGAGAACTTTTTCACTTAGTGTGTAGTGCTCTTTTCTGTTTGGGGTTGTCAGACTTAGGACAACATATTGCTCCTCTGGGAAGAAGGGAGTCTTTCCAAAACTAAGTATCTGGAGTATTTCCTAGAGAGTATCTCTAGCTTCTTCATCAGTATCTTTTTACAAAAATAAAACCCCTATATCTAAAAAATATGAACCTGATCACTTACAGAAGACTGTGTGCACCTCTAATAAGAGTAAGGAGATGGAGGGGAGGAGCCTCCAGCTTGAACAGTTTTTAAACAGCTGTTGCCACCCTTGGTTTGGCAGTGACAGCACCTCCAGTCAGTGCAATGTTTGACCTTGTGTTGTGCTTGTAGGCCACATGAAATAAAAGATACCTACCTGCCTAAGGCCTCTGGGGAGGTTTGCTGGACTTGGGTGCCATGTGCTGCAATATGTACAGTTACAGTACATAAATAGGACAGCTGTTCTTGGGGACAAACCACCTTTTTCTTGGTTTCACCTGACAGTTTTTGGCAATTTTGGCTTCATCAGCAATGTTTCTGCAATAACTTCTGAAGTTACACGGATTTTGTGTTGTGAACAGTGGGAGGCTTTGAGCTTGATAAGCTGACGGGTTGTTACTGACAATCCACTTGAACTTGTGGTGGACTTGAGACCTTCAGTGTTGATTCCATTAAGTTTTTGGAGCTTTTCTGGGCTTCACGAGGTGCACTATTCATCGTGTTCACCTTCTTGGGTAGGAAAATAAGTAAGGTCCAACAGTTAATATCAGAGCGTTCATCTACCACGCTCCAGAAGAGCCTGTCGCCTCTGGAAGAGTTCCTGTGACTCCATGGGAAGCCCCCACTGGAGCACGCTCCTGGCAGGCCCTGGGAATCCACGGATAGAGAAGCCCGAGCAAGAGCAGATTTGCTGGCAGGACTTCTGACCCTGTGGGGAGCCCACACTGAAGCAGACTGTTCCTGAAGGACTGCACCCATGGGACAACCACTGCTGGAGCAGTTTGTGGAGAATTGTAGTGTGTGGGAAGGGCTCACGTTGGAGAGTTTTTAGACGACTGTCTCCCATGGAAGGAACTGCACACTGAAGCAAGGGAATGACCTCCCTGAAGAAGAAGTAGCAGCAGGAGCAACATGATGAACTGACCATAGCCCCATTTGCCTGCACTGCTGTGTGGGGAAGAGTTAGAGAATTGGGAATAAAGTTAAGCATGGGAATGAGGGGAGGAGTGGGTGGAGTGTGTTTTTTAGGATTTGCTTTACCTCTCATTATCATGCTCTTACTTTGATTGGAAATAAATTCAACTAAGTCCCCTAAATCAAGACTGTTTTGCCTGTGGTTTTACCTGGTGAGTGATCTCTCCTTGTCCTTTTCTCAGCTCATGAGCCTTTTGTTGTATTTCCTCTCTCCTGCCCAGCTCTCTTCAGAGGAAGAGAGTGATAGAGCAGCTTTGGTGGGCATCTGGCATCTAGCCCAGGTCAAATCACCACAGGCTTTTTTCTGGGGGTGTGCCATGATGTCTGATGTTGGAAAGTTGCGGCTGCGAGTGGCCAGCAAAGACACTAGCCTTAGCCCAAAAATGGGAGGAAAAATAACTGCATTCTTATGCTCCCCTTAGGTTATATTCACTTTTGTTTGCAGTGATTAATGATTCCTCTGAAGGTAGAAGTTGCAGTGTCTAAGTTGACAACTTAGCGTGTTAACCTGTGCTACAAGTTGATTCAAGTCTTTGGAGCTGTCTTGTTCTGCCACAGTCCCCTTACCCTGCTCATTTGTAGCTCAAACCAGCAAATAACCCATCAGGGTGCTCACATCTGTGAGTGTTATGTGCTGAATCTGGCTGGATCCAGTACTAAATTTGGAATGGTGGTGGAGGAATTTGCTTTGCTGTGGTTGATGACAGTCATTTTTCACCCCCCTCCTGAAGTATAGCAACAGTTTGCCAGATGTGCACAGTGTCAGCATGCTTACACATGTGGAATGCATAAACAGGGTTACCAGCCTTCTGCTTCTGAGATAACAGCCATTGATTTGGATCTCAAAACCCACACTGCCCCTGTTGGTCCTTGAATTGAGAGAGAAGGAAAGGTTCCTGCCATACTGCCCTTTTTGACGCCTTAGGGATACGTAGGCAAGGATACATAGGCAAGCTGGCGCTGATGGAAATGGCTGCTTGTCAGAGTGTATGCTTGCCTCTTCAGTGTTCATGTGCAGATACAGTGGAGTCCTTAGTGATTTAATCCTCACGGATCTGTGGTTGCTGTAGGTCAGTTAACCTGTCAGCACAAGTCCTCCAGACCTCGGTCCCAGAAGCATCTGGGCATAATAAAGGACAAGTATGCTGGAGTTGCACATTGTAACTCCACCTAATCATTTGCCAGGCAAAAGCCTTTCTAAAGCCTTGCCCTTGGTATAAGCATTGCATCTTTTCTATTTTAAGGAGTATTCAGAAGATAGGCAGACAGATGATATCATCACAGAAAGGCATTCTCCAGCAAGTGACAATAAAACTGCTTTGTGTTGTGATAATGACTGTGTATTGTGTAGAAATTTCAGTTCCTTAAATGGAAGTATACCAAATACTTAATTTCATCTTGCTTTCATCATCTTTCAAAAGATTCAGATATCTGTCTTTGGAAATGTAAAGCTAACTGGTCTGATGAGTTTGGTTGCTGCATCTTGAACATTTAATTTTTCCTTATGCTCTGGCGTCTGTTATTCTTTAGCACAATCACACTGAATATCAATTAGGAGGCAGGAAGATGATTGTGGAAAAACTTGATGAGGGGGATGCAGTGCTGACTGGAATTTTGGCTATTGTGAGTGGGGATGCATGTCTGCTCTGAGTTCTTTCTGAACTTTAGAAACTCTGTAGTATTGCACTACATGTGCTGTACAGCAGCACGAGATTTTGAGATCCCTGTGATTTGTATTCCTCTCCCCAAAATCACAGTAAATGGTCTCTTCCACGGACAGGAAGACAAGACAAGTGGTCAGTGCCAAAGTTATTTAGCAGATGGTGCTCGAGTAGTGAGCAACATCATCATCATTTCAAGTGTAAGGCATATAATAGATGTCTACCGGCCTGGCAAATGAGACCCCTGGAGTTACTCGCGTGCATCCATCTCCCATCCTGCAAGATGCTGCCATCTGTCAAGACACCCAGCCAGGCCTCAAATAAATAAAGAAATCTATTTCCCTCTTCTTTCCAAAGCATTGCCATTGCCTGGGTTAATACGCTATGTGTGGGCTTACGTATGTCACACATGTGAGGGAGGAGGAATTATAGATACAGATATGAGGAACGCGCCCTTGGGTTTTGTCACTTGGGGCAGCAGACAATGTTAATGCACGGTAAACATTTTCAGAAGAGCATTCAGTACTTGAATGCCATTGAACAAGCATAAACAGTAATGGCTCTTGCCATGGATTCACCTCCTGTTTCTCTTTCTTTCGGCAGAGTGTGACAAGCTGCGGCGGGATGGCTACCGGAGCTCCCAGTATTACTCTCAGGGCCCCACCTTCTCCTCGTCCTCCAGTGCAATCTGTGGAAGTTACCAGGATGATTATGAAGAAATTGAACAAAAGGTAATGGTGGGGGGCAAAGTACTGGAAAAAAAATACTTTAATTAAGACTTAATTTAGCTTAATTGCCCGCCATAACACTGTTCAAATAAAGCAGGATTTTTAGAGGATCACAAAGATGTTTATTTCTTTGAATTGCAGTGATAGTAGTTCATCTGACTTTCATGATCTCTTAAAACTCCCAATTCCACCCATATAGTTTTATAAAATTCCTACTGGCATGTTCAGAGTGTGAAAGCAGGAAGGCCTTGGTAATATTCTGGAGGGAAGATCCCAGCAAGGGTAGCTGCTAACTGGAGGGAAGATCCCAGCAAGGGTAGCTGCTAAGTGTTTACCTTCAAGTAGCAGGAAGAGCTATTCAGCAGCCATCAGCTTCCTTAAATTGTAACTTGGGTAGGTGCCCATTTTGCATTGCTAATACAGGCAGTTACTCAGATAGGGGTTTTGTCCTAATGCATCTCAGCTGTTTGGTAAAGACATCCAGAAAATGAAGATTGTCCACTAAGTTGGGTTCATTGCCTTTCAGTTTACTTCATGATTTTCATGCTTATAGTCCGACATCTCAACTCCCAGTGTACTTAGCTTAGAATCTAGAAATAAATTAAAGAGAAGGAACTGTTGATCACAAGTTTTAAGAAAGTTATGAAGCCGTATTGCTTCATACATCAATTTATATAGATTTCAGTTGCAGAACTAGTAAGTTGTGTTATTGTTCTGAAGAAGAAAAATTCTCCTCTCCTGTCTTTATCCTGTTGTGCCTGTGGACTCTGAAGGAAAGGCTGATTGTGGTGTAGTGATTTAGGATGTTACTGCTGGGGTGGATAGTGAGATCCACTGGAGCGTGCCTGTAAAGCTGAAGTGCCATAGCTCATGGCATTTCCAAGACAGATAGTCTAGAATACTTTGCCAAAACCAGCTCTTGCTTCGAGAGCAGGAGGACATCCTTGATTGTAATACAGTTTAATTTCTTTGAATTGTTGCTAAACCATATGTCCCTCTGTAGTATGGATCAAATAACTCTTATCAGTAAAACTTGCAGACCCTGAGAATGTGTTTTAAAGAGTACAGTGTTTTCAGTTTTATCCTTCATGAGCTTTAGTCACATAATAAAAGATGTTGTGGAATATGTAGAGTCTCTCTTCCAGGTGGTGATTGCATTTTATCTGTATATTGGCAGGGAATGTCAGAGCATCTTGTTTAGCTGTGTGTGGTATGTACTGGCAGTGAGCCGAGAATGTAAAGCACATTCATACTGTGGAATGCATTATAATGATAATTTGCAAAACCTTGCTGAAACCAATGGAATTATTATTTCCACTGGGGAAAGTATTAACACCTTGTTTGTTGCTATTAATGTACTGCACATAAATGCATACGTTTATGTCATCGACTTGTCCTGGCCAGTGCTGTGCAGCATATAACCATCTGCACATATAAAACTAACATAACATTTAAAAAACATAAATACACTTCTCTTTAAACAATTTGCATGAAAGTATATAAGCATGGGTGAGGATTCTTGGAGACTAAGAGCTGTCATCCTTTCTTGGTTAAGGGTTTTTTGAGTGTTAACATAATGTGTTACTAACAATTTCTGTGCATTCTGGAGAAAATTAATGCAACTAAGTATGCTTTAAATATAGGACATCACTCCCATTTCAGATTGGAATAGGTTTCTTTAAATGTTATAGCTGAAAGAATGATTCAGAGCTGTGGAGAAAGATAGCTGCCAAACTGACAGTCTTGGCTGTTACTGATTATCTCGGAACCTTAGCCTTAACCCTACCACTCCTATTTCCATCTCACAAAGACATAAATTTCTTGTAAACTGTAGCATGATTCTCCATTCATATTGTATAACTTTCTTTTGTGGAATTTTTTGACCAGTATCTCTGTTTATTGGTGCTTTTTCTTTAATGCTGTAAATGTTTAATCTTTCTTTAAATTAATGTTTACCACAACAGGTTTCTGAACTTGAATTATTATCCTACTGGTAAAGAGCCAAGTAATTCTAATAAGTCTTATGCCTTGAGGGAATCATATTTCAGCTGTCAGGAGAGTTCTTCAGTAACAATGTGGAACTGGGGTCACCAAAAATCCTGTGGTTCAAAATGTGAACTCCTTGCCACTAAATGAAAGCCTTATAGCTTTGTTGTCTATTCAAAGCAAAAAAGCCAACATTTAAATTCTGTGCATGCAGTATTAAATAATTAAAATTCAAAAACAGCAAAATAATGATGGGTGGATGGATACCTATTTAGTGTTCATAAACTTCTTAGCTGAGATAATTGCCAACTTGTAGCAAATAAGAGTGTGTGATATCAAAAAGGAAACCAGTTTTCCCTGTTATTTTTAATCTGCTTCTAAAAATAAAAATCATAGCCAGATATTTGTCTTGTCTATCTACAATGGAGACAATATGAAACAATGGCTAGGTGTCGATCCACAAGCATTTTCAGGTTTTGTGGAGATGGGTGTCTGTCAGCAGAGGGTAATACACCACCAAGCACGTTGGTTCAGCATTTTAGGAAATGTCTAAGATAAGCAGAATATAAGCCGTTCCAAAGGAAAACCACTAAGGAGAAGCAGGCCCAACTCAAAAATGAATAAACAAAATTAGAAAACATAGAAAGCTGGAGTCTCTTGAGTGGAAGGTGATATAAAATTAAGTGTTTGGATCTGCCCTTTTAATGTTGATTCTTACAAGTTAGATTAATGAAGCACAGGCCAAGCCCCAGTGTAGTACTAATCCTAATTGAGTTTGTTGGTGATTAAATTGGTTTACCTGGATTTTACATCTCTGTACTGTGACCAGTCTTCTCCATTCTTGTATCTTACATGCTGCTGTTGGTGACACAACTTAGGAGCTATTCCTGTCCTTCAGTATTACTCTGTTGTACCAGTGTAAAAGATGTTTTGAAATGTCATGTTCAAACTCCAGTTCTCCTTATGTTCTGAAATGTATGCATGTGTATATTAACTGTATTTGTCTTTTGTGTGGTTCTTTTTCTTACTCCTTTTTCTTTCCCTTTTTACCACTCATTCTCTTTGTTTCTTTTTGTCTCACTCAACAGTCTAGTCTGTTAGATTGCATCTCTCAGTCTTGCATTAGCGCCTGCTGTAACTTGGTTCCCTGGAATAACAAGGTACTTTGCCCACAAGTGGGACCATCCAGCTGCCGTATCTGCAGCTTGATGTTACATGTAGCATTTAGTGTATGTGCAGTCTTATTCTGCTCTTAGCCTTCAGTCACTACCTGCTGCTTTTTTCTGCTTAGAAAAAAAGAGCAATTAAAAAAAGAAGAGTCCCATGCCAGGTTTGTTTCTTTTATGTTCCTCTGTTCTCCTTTTTGTCTGCAGTATAGCATCCTGTATTGACTTGGTTCACAGAATTTTTTATTCCCTTTTTTGTCTATTAATATTTGCCTCCTTTGAAACCCCTCCCCCAATGGACACTGTGTTTTATTTAATTGGCTGCTTCATTGGTTTTTAATCAGTCAAAGAAAAATTCTACTAATTTGGAGGCATGTATCTTTCTTGAATGATAAATGTGAACTACAGAGAGTACCTGCTCCCAAGCATGCAGTATTGCATATATATATTATTTCTTTATTCCATTTATGAAAATGTCGGTGCGCCCAAAACTCATGGTGTTTTTCCCTACATCATGTCATTTGGCTTATGAACTTTGCTTTTAACAGTTATGCTTTGGATGAAAAAACACTTCCCTTATGTGGGGGGTGGCATGGGGGAAGAGTATATTTTTGCCACTGTGATCATCTAAACTGTTAATTATCTCTCCAATATCTGCCCAAAACTGTTTGATATCTTAAGTGAAAACAAGTACACTAACTGTAAATTCATTTGAGGAAGTTTAATGCAAAACTTTACTTGGTGTTAAGAGGAGGTAAAGTTGGGCACTTCAGTTTTGGAGGTGGGAATGCCTAAAAAGCCCCGAGGCATAAGGTCTGGCAGAGTTGAGGATACCTCTAGGTGGTGGTGTCCTCAGGTGGCCTCTCTTACCCTTCTGCTGCAGTTGCACAGCACTGCTCTTGTAAGCAGCACATGCATTTTATACCATTTACAGGGGTTTGGTTTTTTTTAAATACTGTACCATTTTCTGAGCTGAAACAGCATCTCATAATACATGAAATGTCAAAGCATAAGGAAGCGAGTACAGAAAATCTTTGAACAAAGAAAAGAGGGTAATTCTTCATTCATTGCATACCCAGACTGTGCAGCTGCTGTGGGAATTGTGGATGCTGAAAGTTTACACGGGTTTAGAAAGCAACTGGGTACATTCTTGAAGGGTGAGGACTCCATCCTATCTGAGAGAATATTCAGGAAAAGGTATCTGCTCTATGTATCCTTGGATTTAAATTTTACCTTGATACAATTCATTGGCCTTTATCTTAAGGCAGATGCTAGATACGCCTTTAGAGCACTGTAAGTACAGATCTTCTTGTTTTTTATCCCGTTACAACAGAGTAGAGGAAGAAGAAAAGAACATTTCTGCAGTTTGTTAAGGTTATAATTTGCTTGATAGTCAGTAATTTCGCTGACAAAATGTTCTTACCTTACTGAGACACAATGAAGGTTATGAAGTGAAGAATTTAGTGGGATAGCAGTGCTGGCTAGTGCAACTGGAGATCTGTGTGTAGAAGTAATAAAATGGACTATTCTGTGAAAACTGTGGGAACTAGACTGATGACCTTGGTCTAGAGGATACCAAAGAGTCTAACGACTAATTCATCTAAAATGTAAATTCATGTAAATTTATAATGTGGCAGTGTTCCATGAGACAGTGTGAAACCCCACGGGTTGAATTAGGCATGTGAAGTGCCATTCTCAGTTGGCTAGGTTTGGATCTTGGATTTCTTTTCCCTGTTACTGATTGTTTTGATCCCTTTGTGTTGGGAAAATAGTTCTTGAAGCCATCAAACCTAGTATAAGTCACTGGAGGCAGAAATAGGATGTTGGTTAGAATAGAATAGAATAGAATAGAATAGAATAGAATAGAATAGAATAGAATAGAATAGAATAGAATAGAATAGAATATATAATAGCTGAACTCTATGGCTGCTGTCTGCAACACTTGATTTTTTTTTTCATCTATTTTGTTTTTCTGATAAATTATGATTTTAGAAGTGATTTTAGTAGACAGTAGGGTAAATGGCATGACTAGAAATTTGAAGTCTCTGCTGAAATGTAAAATTTGTATGGATTGGGTTTTCCTCCTGGAGGTTCTATCTTTTTTTAAATACTGTAGTATGAACCCCTGTTATATAAAAAGGATTTAGAATAAACAGATTATTTAGCCAGAGAGTGCTGTGAGATACATAGCATAAACTCATTTGTCATCTGGGACCTCTCAAATAGCATGAAAGTGCTGAGATAGTGAAACTCTTTTGTTGTATCTCAGCAGCTGAGTTGGCTGGGGGACAATATGTCAACAAGGCGTCGGAGAGGCTCCAGCTTACTGAGCCATATAGCATGTCTATAGGATATTTATAGGCCATTTTTCTCCTGGATTCTTATTTTAACTCCTATTCGAAAGTTCATGCTTTCCCCCCCCTAGTACATGTTTGTGGAAACACTGCAAGATCCAAGGCTGCTGCTTTTCCATTCCACCTTTACCCCTTCCCATGTCCATGAAAAAGAGCGAATTCCAAAATATTTTCCTGTGGAGATGAGTGTAACAGCCCATTTCAGAGATTTGGGCATTTGACTAGCAGTGAAGTTACTATGGCTCAGAGAGGCTTTAAAAATGGGACAAGTACTTCTTTTATGAGAATAGAGTTTATGATCAGTTGTGCCTCATTCTGCTTCAGGTATAACAGACCTGACTGGAGAAGACACTCCTGTCACACAGCAGCAATTCATTGCATATTCCAGTGAGCTTCCCTGCTGTAAATCTGGGAATGTTTGCTAAAAATATGTAAAGCCCATTTTCATCCTAATTATATAGGTGTGAATAATTTCTGTCTGAAGAAGGCTGAAAGATGAGTTGCTGCATTCCTCTATGTGTAAATAAAGCTTTGTCATGCATATACCATTATCACTGAGAGTACTTTGGAAAAAAGGATGTAAGTAAAGACACTCATGTTTCTACAGGATCCATGGAAAATGTACCTACAGTTGAAATGTGAACACTTATTCTTATACCCAAAACCACCTCCAACTCTTCTGCAGAATTATTTTGTAGAAGCACATGTGTCCTGTGGCAGGAGGTTGTTCTCACTGACACTGCTTTGAACTCAACTGCACCATTGGCTTTTCAGTTGCTTCTCTTTGATTATATGCTCACATAACCTGATTCATTTCTGTCTGTCTTACTCCATCTGTCCCCAATTTTCTCAGCTTCTAATTCTGCAAAATTTCTGATTGATGTTTCACATTCTTTGGTTAATTAGGATTCCCTTCTAGCAGGTGCTTCATTTTTTCAGTTTTTCTGTTCGTATACTGTAACAAAAACCTTTTTCTTCTTGGATTTGGTAATTTCTTTGAAAAGGAAGGATGGCTTTGTAACCAGTATCTCTGCCACTTGATGTACTGGAGTAGCCCTTAGAGACTGCTATGTGGCAGCTGAGACCTGGCACTGCAGTGCAGTCTGAAGGTGACACTTACTGATGCTGACAGTATCAAGCAAGCAGAGTATTTGAAGGTCACTGGTGCTCATCCTCACCCCAAACAAACTGCAAAACTATGCTTGAGGTGTCTCCCTTGGTCTCCCTGATTCAGAAGAGGAGAGAGAGTGGAGAAAAGCTCATTATAGAACAGGGAAAACAGTATTTCTTTGCCTTAGAAATTGATTACTTCTTAAAGAAAAGAAAAGCTTCTTAAAGAAAAGCTCCCACGTTTTGAAGTGTGGTTCCAAACCACAGAATGGTATAAGTAATCGTTTCATTGCCTGAAATGTTTTTCTAGTGTTGCTTGAAGAGGTTTTACTTTTCTTTTACTTTTTGCCTGGAAGTTGCTTTAGTTTTTATTTTCTGTTTAATAAAATGTTGGACTCTATCCTAAAGGATGTAGAGTCAAAGCATAACAGAATCAATAAATGGTTATTTATTTATAAACAGTGGGAACTCCTCGTAGTAACAGGAAGAAAATTAAAATCAGAAATGATAAACAGTAGTTGTAGCACAGTGTTTGGTCATGTCTTTTGTATAGCACTCAGCTTCAAGAGAAAACAGATCGCTTAGAACTGAACACCCACAATAATAAAAAATCCATCTGTTATAAAAAGCTGTGATGTCTCCTTCCATGCCTGTGTGCAGGAATGAGGGGGGAAGAGGCAGTGGTCCAGTGCTGACAACCCTGTTTTGAGTAGTATTTGACTTTCCAAAGGGAGAGAGTAATAAAGAAAAGAGAGGGATAGTTCTGGTCGGGTGGTAGGGAGGAAGGTCCAAAGCAAACTCCTCTGAAGCAGAGGAGTTGACAGGTTGCAGAGAAATCTCTGCAAGTGCTGCAAATGCTAGGGAGCTCCTTTTCCATGTCATCTTGTCTCTTTTGTTTTGACTGGGGGCAGGAGACTGTGGTTGATTTTCCTCCAGGTCTTCCTTCCTCTCCTGCTTCTGGGATTCCCTGGTGGAGTGCCTTGGTGGCAGGAGTAGGGAGGAGGGAGGGCCACCTCTCTCAGATTCACTTGTGTTTGTGACCACCTGCTAGAAGCCCCAGTGATGGACAAGTACTGTCCTGTCAATAAAAAGCTGCTCTATGGCTTTCTCTGCCTTTACTGGCATGAAAGTGAAGACCTTGTAATGAAAACAGATTTGCTCCCCGAAAGGAAATTTTTTTTTTGGCTTTTAACTTCGGTGGAGGGATTTGCACAAGCTGTTGCAGCCTCTTTCTCTCGTGCAGAAAGGTTTTTGTTTTATTGGTTGAATTTCTTGTCTTTTTTTTTAAGTAAAACACTTCATGAAATTGAGTGCTGCTCAAAGTGCCACTTTGAGAAGAACTGACTTTTAAAATTCCCACTCTGTGACTACTAATAATATTAAGTGCTTTACCCCTGCAGAATGAGTAACCCCTTGGGCCTGTGGCATGGGTTTCTCCAAGACCAAAGCCAAGTTACTTGCTTACTCCACTGATCCATGGCTGATGATTCTGTGGAGTGTGCTGATTGTTTTTTTACTGAGCTCTACTAAAATCTGTCTTTTGATAATGGGATTCTTGCTGAGACCTTATGCATTCATACAGCCTAGTGCAGCTGGAGCAAAGCAGTGCTTAAATCTCACCTTCTAATAGGGCATGGGGAGGTGAGTGGGGAAGGGAAGACAAACCTTGGTGCAGGGAGAGGGGGGTTAATTGCTGCAGGAACTTTGTCAGTGTATAAGGTGTGCTTTGCTATGCTCAACACCACTCTTTCCTCCTTCGTTGGTGTATATTCCTTAGACTAATAAAATGTCTTTAAAAAATACCAACTAGATGTTTTGTTGTGCATTTTTTTTAGTGTATTTTTAAAACTGCTCTCTGTGTAGGTCGAAGTGTGATATTTATGAGGGTGTGTTTTGCTTCATAAGCAGTCAATGCTGATTACAGCAACAGCACCTTAGTAATACCCTAGTCATACCTCTATTTTTTTTTAGTAGTAAACTCACATTGTTGTATGTATTTCTGTTTGTAGTGTCCTGTCTCTTCCCCTGAAGAAGAAAAGCTTATTACCATCAAAAGGCCTAAAAGTCCAGCTACAAATGATTTATCAGATATCAACACCCAAACCAACTGGACTAAATCTCTCCCACTGCCAACACCAGAAGAGAAAATGCGACAACAAGCACAAGCCGTCCAAACAGATGTGGTTCCTATTAATGTGACTGGTAGGCTTTTAATTTCAGTAATTGCATTACACTGATGCGGGAGGGCAGAGATGAAAGGGGATCCATACAGTTGGCTAGTATTCAGATACTCATATATTCAATGCATGGGTTTTAAATTACTTACCACACCTTTCTATGAAAACCATTTTGTGTGTAATAGTCTAAATCTGAACTTAATTAAAAAATATCAACCCTTAAAATTATCATTAATAGAGATAATGGTTAAAATATGTGGGCTTGAAACAGCATTAGATATTCATGAAGTGCAAGAAGAGGACTGATAAATAGCAGTGTTTTGCTGTGGACTGCACTGAGGATGTGTAGTTGAAAATCATGTTTTATCCAATGTTGATTATATTTTAAGATTTTCTTCTAGGAATTTTATTTAAGGAAGGTTGTCAGGAACTTCTTTGTTCCAAAGACTAAATGTTACAAAAATCAAGAAAAAAAGCTCTAGGGTCCAATTTTTATCAGCAACAAAAGGTTTAGATGTCAAGGAGAGTAGGGTTAGAACAGCAAAAGTTAATGAGGCTACGCCTTTGAGCAGTACTCTAGGTAAGACACTCCACTTACATAACCATAGTCTACATCTTCTTGTTATGAACGGTGTGTTAACTCTTCCTTTTGAAAATGCTCTTTGATTTTACAGTTGCAGAACTCTCACTCTCTGAAAGTTAAATTATGTTAAAGCCCGATGCTGAATAGATACTTTGTTGTGCGTAAAATAGAATTTCTGTCAAAGATGGAATTATCACTTCAATTTAATAACCCCTTTTTTTCTGCACAGTATCAAGATTGCCTCTTATTAGTTAATTCAAATAACTGACTGCTTGCCTGCCAAAGCCAGGATAATATTCAATATCCAATTTATTTCAAATGCCATATGGCGTGCTCTGACTCCATGCTTACTCTGACAATCAATAGCTTGCAATGTTTGGTTTTGTTTTGAAAGTAAATTAGGTTCTCTTTCCCTGCATGACTACCAATGTTTTTTTACCTGTATTTTTATAACCTAGTATTTTAATCAGCATTATTTAATAGTATTTAAATATTCTAGTAGTGTAGGAGCAGGACAGCTGCAACAAACATCAGCAAGCTCTGAGAAATCAACGAGAAATTGTTCCTTAAATAGCAGAAAATATTTGAAGTAAACAGATGAAGACAACATGAAAAGATGAACACCCCACCTCTGGAAAACTAATAGAAGGAAAATGCACGCAATGCTGAAATGTTACTAGGCCAGTTGGCATTATCTAGGGAATTTAGGGTACAGATGCAGAAGGCCAAGTTATGGGAACAACGGATAATCTGACATAATCAATAAACTTGAGTAGGGCTTAGATACTGTGACAGCAGGAACACAGTATACTTAGAGAAGCAGTAATCTGTTGTTTGATTTAATGACCTTGCATACTGCAAAAGATAGGGGAGAAGTAAACAGATGGAAAGAAAAATGAGGTAAAGGGATCAAATAACTCAGAATTAATTCAGCATCCTGTGGAACATTACTTTGTTTGGATAAATTATGTTTGTGACTTCAACCTGCATAATTTGATCGGTGTAGCAAAGCTTGTCTCCCCTGAGTTGTTTAGTCAAGACTCAGAAAACTCAGCAATTCTCAACTTCTGTGATTGAAATGATGTGCATGCATATTATATCTTGCTTTTCTAGAGTGTGTGGTTGAGCACTTACTCCCTTATAAACATGGTAATTGGAAGAGGTAGAAAGGGAGGGCATTAAAGGAAGGCTGCCGTTGTACCATGTGATCTGGTCTCTAGGATCTGCCATTCCCTTTCCCTTGAAATAATTTTATTGCTACTATGAAACAAGGCAAGCATGTAAGCCACACACAACATACAAAAAAAGCTGCTGTCCTTGTTCCTTTTAAAAAGTCACAATCTGCTCCCCTCCTCTGCTCTCCCACACACCAAGTAATTTTATTTTGTGAAGTTCCTTATGTTACTGCACGAGGCAGGAAAAAAACTGACAAGAAATCCGGTGCTGTTTGTTCAACATAACACGGAATAAACCATTGAGGATTTTTATTTTGGTTTGGCTTTTCCCTTCACACACTCTCTTTCTTACTCTCTCTGAAGAGAGGTCAAAAAACTTCCATTTTATTACTCCTGGCATGGGATGAAAGGTTAACCTCTGAAGAGGCTGCTGGCAATTGATAACATTTTCAGCAGTGCATTAGTGGTGATTCTCCTACAAAGGCCTCTCACGTGGCTGTGCAATAAATGCTCCATGAGTTCAGCTTTCAGGCCTCTTTGGTGAACAGATTGTAACTAATACAGTAGTCATAAAAATCTGTTGGATAGCCTGAAGGTGCAGGGGCATTGCATTAGGCTGACAAGCTGCTGACTAGACATCCAGATTTGGAAGCAGTTTTGGTCTCAAAGTGCCTGGGCTGAGCTTTTTTCTGGAAGGGGTTGGACTGAATTTTCCAGTGGTGGCCAGTCTTTGCATTTGCATTTCCTGTGGGTTAAAAGATTTACATATAATAGTGTCTGTTCTCATGGGTTTTCCAGAACTAACTTTCTTTCCAGATGGAGGAGTCTGGTAATGGTGGAGGTGATCAGTGCCAGGCTAGATCCTGCAAAATATTTAAGCATTTGCTTTAGTCCAACTTGACTGACTTCAGTGAGATTTAAGTGCATACTGAAGTATTTTCTGTGAATCCAAGGAAACTGAGTATACTGCATGAGGAACAACTGAGTAAAGTATATAAGGAATACCTAGACGGTTTATTACAAATCTGTAAGAGAAGGAGAAAAGTATTCTTAAATCTGTAAAACATACTTACCATTGACATCAATGGTTTCTAAAATGAAAAAGATGACAGTGAAGAAAGAAAAAAGACTGACACATTCTGATTTTGCTTGTTGGATTTCACTGAAGTTGCTATTTTGAAATTCTACAGATTTGCATAGTGGCCTTTGTGTATCAAAAGCCATTAAAGATGGATTGTTGAGTTAGCTTTTAGGTAGCTCATTTGGAACAAGTTACTGTGTATCAGTTGACGCAGTAATATTTCCCCATAGCCATCCTGTTTGTGCTGTCTGAGGCTTCGTGTAAAAGACTCTCTCTTTGTTTGCACCCTCTGCTTACCACTTACATTTTATTCCAGGGCTTTATTCAAAGCTACATTACAATTTTCTTGCAACTCACTATCTCAGGCATGATTATTTGCCTTGGAGTGGATAAAGATATGTTCAGAGATGCAAAACATTCTCCTTCCAATCTGTTGGATTTGTGTAATGTGTCTAGAATTATTTTAATCATCCTGCAGGACAGGATAACCCAATGTCCTGACTTTTGCCCTGTAAGGGTCCTAACATCCTGATAGTGGTGCTGCCTGGGACAGTGGATAGTCTGACTCAATATTTCAGGACTTCTACTAAGCCAGTGGGATCCATAGCTCTCAATTTTATAGTTCCCATGGGCTTCCCCTCCTCCCTTAATCTGACTTCAGTCAATCCAAAAGTTGGATGAAACTGGCATTTTGTAACTGCAAGGATTCCACTCAGCAGAAGTGCAGCCCGTGGTCCAGGCTCCAGTCAAACAGAGTCAGAGTCTTTATATTTACAACATGGTGAATGAAAATGCTACATTTTTCCCTTGCATTTTCACAAGTCCACATGCTGTACTTTAATATATGACTGTATCTTTAACTGTTATAGAGGTAATGAGGTTTTCTATGCTACTCTCACGACACGCATCGTACTGATGTGCAGTCAGCCGGGGGAATTTTTGTGATGTATTCGTTACCGTGCATTAATCACTTTTTAGAGGTAAATAATTTGGTCATCAATTTTCAAAAAAAGTGTACAGTGGAAAAAAAAACATGTACAATGTATATCGAGGTTTTTCTGCCTTTGAGTTTTAAAGCGAGTCATCTGAAGGACATTGAGCAGTGCTTTAAAATGCTTAAACTTCTAAAAAGGGAATTTACATGTAAGTTACGGGGGGTAGCTGTTAAATTTTTAGAAGTGGCAGAGAATTAGCTCATGATCTATAGGGCAATCTTTATCTTACTATTAGTGAAATGGCCAAATTATAAACCTCTAAACAAAAGTGAATTCCTAAAGAAAAGCTGCTTTATAATAGTGGTGCTTCTGGGTCCCATTATGATACAGCACATGGTCATCATAAGGCTTTGTCTGGCAAAGTGCACGTGGGCATTTTTTTTAGCTCTTGCCGTTGTATATTTTTATAATCATCTGTAAAGTTTCAATTTTAAGCAGCTTTCACTCTGAAATATTTATGAGTCCATGAGATCAGTTTGATCTCTGCGTGCTCTGTAGTTCTTATTTGTATTTGTGTTAAAAGATCAACACCAGAAATGTGGTGCACTTGACAGGTTCAGAGCAACTTGGAATGAGAAAGAAGGGCCTCATGCGAGTTAATGATGGAGCCGTGCAAAGGCATTGTAATAGCTGTTGCCAATAGCAGTGTCTGTTCCTGCATAAACCGTTGTGATCTTTCATTTTCATGAGCAGATTTGCTTTTTCTGCAGCTCATTACTTAAAAATAAATGAACAAAACCACAGAAAAATCTATGAAGGGCCAAATTAAAGCAAGGATTCTCTTTGCTTGTGGAATTAGACCTGCTCTCACCAAATAGGAGCTGGGCTCAGGAAGTCAAAATTCCTTTAAAAACATGCAGTACTGCGTAATGGATATTTGTGTCTAAAGCCTTACTGTGACAATGTGCTGTACCTTCCTTCATTGTAAACCCTCATTGTAGGACCAAGCTAACACCATTTATTAATGCCTTTTTTTCCATTTCTCCAACAAAACTAGTGGAAGAAAGTGCATGATGTCAGTGTGCTTGGAAGTAATGTTGCTTTGCTTGTTCTACCATGTATTAGGGGAGAATTTCGACCGCCAAGCCAGCATTCGGCGGTCTCTAATTTACACAGACACGGTGGTAAGACGGCCGAAGAAAGTCAAAAGGAGAAAGACTATTACAGGAATCCCTGACAACATACAAAAGGAGCTAGGTATGGCTCATCAGAACTGTATTACATCCACTGTTCATTGTCACTGCTTATCATTACTAGACTAATAACATTACCAGTGCTCATGAAACCAAATACAGTCTGATAGCCTATTTCAGTTCCAAATATGCGTGTGCCTCCTTGCCACCTCTTGCATTGGGAAGTTGGGACCTTTAATCTGTTGGCTTCCATCTGTTAAGGGGAACAGGGTGTTTGGAAAATGGTGTACTGGTACAATGAAAATCTGCAGGGATGTAAGGTTTCTGGACTTCAATGCTTTCCTTCAGATTTGATCATCTTCTTCAGGATGTTCACCAAAGCAAAACTGAAGTGGGCAGACTTGTGGCTTGTGAGCAATTACTTAGTGGAGTAAATCAATTCATGGATGCCTTCCTGAATCTGCCAAGGATTGCATCAAGAGTGAAAAACCTGTTTTCCAGTTCAGTTTTGGCAACCCCTTAAGTATCTGTTATTTGATCGGCAGTAGCTTAGCTGGGTTTATTAGCTATTCCATATATTCTAAAGGAAACTTACCTATTCAGTAACATTTACACTACCTCAGGCAGTCCTTCTCACTTTGTAGTTGATATGAATTTGAAACTGATAAAGCAATCTGAATTTTGGCAGACCTTTCAGACACTTCTTGTAGAATTCTTTGATTTAAATGGTGTTATTTTAGTTTATTTTTTAAAATATTATTTCAGTTTCTCCCAGGTTATAACTTCACAGATAAAAGTGTGCCCCCCCCACCCCTTTTTTTCCTCAGTAGAGGAAGAATATGTTTTAAAATAATCTGGCAGAACTTAATTTTGGTGCTTTATATGTGAAATCGTCTCATACTGATGATTTCAGTAAGTTCTACTACCTTGCATGTTGCATCTCTTTCTTTTTTAATTAATTGTTTTCAGTTCTTGATTATTTTTATGGATATTTCAGAAACAGAAGCAAAAATCTGTAGCTTGTCTGGATGGGTTTGAAATGAGCTAGCAGGTCAGGCACAGAGAAAGCCAAGAAATAGACAATTAAATGCAGAGAAGTCTGCGAGTGGAACTGTGCTCCTTCAGCATCTGTAATGAAACAGTGCCCTGCCATGGGAACCTCTCCCTCAAGAAAGCATTTACAAAATGCAGAGGTTACATTTGTGGCCACTTCAGAAAGATATTTCATGCTTGAAAACATCAGCTGTAGTTTTATTTGGTGGAGTAAGCTGAGAATGCAGTTGGCATCTATCCTAAAAAGAATTCTTCAGTTAATACCTTAAAAGAAGTTTATAACTTTTGCCAGTCTGTTCCCTAAGGGTGACAGGTTTTTACCTTGATTTTCGTCTTTCATCTCTGTGCTGAGCACAATTCATGTTGCGCTGCTTGAAGGTTTTCCTTGGCTTCTATTTTAAGTTGTGGGCTGGCAGTATCCCACTGTAGGAGCTCTCTTTGGATGGTTCCCTGGTCCACAACCTGCAGGCACATGAGGCTTCAGCCATCTGCCCTATGGCAGAAGTTGTCTGAGGAGCTCCATGTTGCTTCAGTGGTGGTTGTATCTCTTCCAGGGAGCAAATTGTGTGCCAGGAGAACTCTGTGATGGCAGTGCCCATCCTCTTAGTGTATTGGTTTCCATCACGAGATACAAGGTGCACTTGGAAAGAGTGATAGTGTCTTCATCTTATGCCTGGAGAAACCAGACATGCTGCAGTGAAGTGACTTAGCCACTCAGCCACCAGGCTGCTGGCAAGGCTGGGAATAACTGCAAGTCTCCCCCATCCCTGTTCAGTGCTCCTTCTGCCTTTTCTCCCCTGTCACTCCCCAAATATTTCTGTAGCAGTCCATTCCCTATTTCTCTTACACTGTCCCAAAACAAATAACAAGTTGTTTTAAAACATTCCACAGTTCATTTGATCGGAAGAAGTATCCGGACTAAACTCCAAATCAAGCAATTATATTATGCCTATTGACATTCTCCCTGTGGTTTCAGCTGAATAAATCTCTTTGTTTCTCCCCTAAAGCATTGCTGTGAATGGCTATAATATTTACACAGAGATTAAAATCCCTTGGTACACTAGAGTTGCTGCGTGCAGGCTAAATAACCAACATATACAGCAGATTCTTGTAACCTCTTGTTTATCCTTCAGAAGGAAGCAGAAACTTGAGAGAACCTCAAAGCTTCATCCAGGCTTGGACTATTTTCCTTTCTTGTGAGAGAGCCTGGAAGAACTTTTGTCAGGCCACGCTGCTGGGGTTCTTCCCTGGCTGCTTTGGGTCCTTTGGAGCAGAGGAGACCAAGCAGAGGAGAAAGCCTGCACTGGCTGCTGACCTGAGCTCAGCGGATGTGGTACCCTCATAGAGCTTAGCCAGACATACTGAAAGGAAACATTAACTGCACCCATGTGCTCAAAGTATCTTTAAACATTCCTGCTTTTTAGCATTGAAAGGCTGTTGTGTTTTCACAGGTGTCTTCCAGCAATGAACCAGTCTCTCTGTGTAGACTGGAAAATTCTGCATTAAAAATTCTGCATAAATAAAATGCAACATGATAGGTGGGATTCTGAGATACAGTAAGAATGTGAGGCGTCTGCCAGTTTAGAGGTGGCAGTTACTTTTTGGAGTTGTTTTTATCTGCAGCACCCTCTCAGTACTGTTTAGCAGAGTGACACCGAAGTAACAGGAGAAGGCAAAGCATTCTTCTCTCTGCCAAACACAGCAATGAAAAAAAATTAGTTCTGCATATTTCTGAATTACCTTCCTTGTCTTATAGAACATAAATAATACATACATATTTAATGGGAGTCAGTGTTGGGTCAGAACTGCAGAAAGAGCAAGAAACTTTGAGATGTTTTACTTCAAGGGCTCTTGGTTTCTCTGCTCCGTGTTGCCATTATCCATTGTCTCTGGATGTCTTCTTCAGATGGTACCTTATATGCAAACCTGTATGCCCCCGTCAGACAAGAAGATGATTTTCAAACAGAAGTTTGGTAGAGATGAACACCTCTCAGGAAGAGCCTGTCACTAGCCTTGCTCATTTCTTGGCTCTTGGTTATCATCAGCTCCCTTCACACTTTCCAACTCTCCTGATGAAGTAAAGGCAGCAAAATGCTTTCCACCTTTTCATAGTCCCTCCTTTGTGTCAGTGCTCTAGGGTCTGGCTCAGACTAACTTTCTTTCTGTGGAGCTTCCAAGTTACCTGGTTGTGTTTCTCCAGAGCTGTGCACCAGTGCAGTCCCGGACTCCCTCTCTGTCTTGCAGGAGGCACAGCTCTCAGACCTGACTGTCAGTTCCACCACAGTTCCTAATAAACATACCCCACCGAAACAGTGGAGAGGAAAACATCTTCAGCTTTTCCACCTTTTGATTCCTCCTTCTCCTGTCAGGCATTTTGATGGTTTTTTTCTAATTCAACAGAAAGTTTTTGTCCTCTTGGTTTCCAAAAATATCTTCTAATTTTATGCTTTGTGTGTACTTCCTTTGGATTATTTAAATCCTTTTTTTCCATCTTACAGATGCAATTCATGAACTTTTTGGCTCTGTGATTTTTTTTGTCCCGTGTATTTTTTCCCCTTTTTTGACGTAAGGGTTCAAAGGGTCAGAATTACCTCATACTGTTTTTTCAGCTTACTTTCCTACCTCACTTTTTCAGTAGCTCACTGTCACCTGTAAGATCTCATTGGGATGGGAATGACTGACACCTCATCTGTAGTCCTTCATTTGCTTTCTTGCTGTGCAGCTCAGACCCCTTGTGGTACCAGTTGGTGTCTCAGGTATCATTTGGGACTGTTGAAGCTCTCTGCTGACATGCCTGAGAGGAAGCAATTCCATCTCAGCAACGTGGGGGCAAATGAGTCCTTTTGATTTCTGGAAACTCAGCTATTCTATTAAAAACGTCTCTGAATTGATACTCTTCTCCAGTTAGTTCCCTCTAGGGCTCACAATCACTCAGGTTACAGGTCTCATGGATAAGAAGAGTCCCAGATACCCCTTGGTCCTTCAGAAATGCCACACAAATACCCAGCTTTTCCAGCCAAGTAATTCTGCACCTGCTTCTATTTGCAACTTTAGCAGTCTTTGGAGAGAATATCTCTGTTTCAGAGTTACTGTGCGTTTTGACTAATACTTGGTTTATACCTGTAGCTTTTCACCATTGTATGTTTCCAGCACTATCCGTCTATAGATCAGGTGTTAGAAAGCAGATATAATTTGCTTTCTGGTACTGAGAGGATGAAAAACACAGATGCCAAGAATACAAACCTCCCCAGAGGCTGTTAGGTTAGAGAAATGAACAGAATCAAGAAAACTTGAATTCCCAATATTTACATCAGAATTCTCCCTCTCAGGGTGGCAGTGATATGTGCAAGTATTCAGGGGATATTTTTAGCTGGCAGTACTGAAATGTTTCACTGCAATATTTTTCTTCCCCTCTGAGCGATTACAGATGCTTCGTGGAGCACAGTGAAAATTCCTTAAAATTGCTATAAGCCCAATGTACTTGTCTGTTTCTTGTTGAGTGTCTGTTAAAATCACTCAGTTTGTAAGTGCTGGGGTAAAGCAGATTAAGAATCTCTGGGGTTTTTTTGTAAACTAAATTGTGATGCCTGCAGAGTGACTTAGCCAGTTTACCAGGTTTGCAGGAGGATTGCTAGGTGGGGCATGAGGAGGCAGTGAGAGCAACACACCTTAGGAATGTGCCTGTGGCATAAGAGACAAATGCTTGCATTGGAAATGGTTAGTCAGAAGGTAAGAGAGACTACTTCTTTGTTCTCGTTGAAACAAGCATGTACTTTGTGACACCAACACACACTATTTATCGTTTCAAACCCTCAGTTTTCCACGTTCATTTCAATGCAGAGGACTTCTCATGTGATTCTCTGCAACGAGCTGCTGGTGCCACCACCTCAGCTGGAGTCACAAAGGGGCTGATAGTAGCTAGTACCTGGCCCCAGGGATTATATAGAGACATGCTTTTTTCCCCATCAGATTTGCCAAATTTGTCATTCTCAATCCCTGTCCTCTCCAATGAGCGACACCAGTGGCTACTAGAGTCCAGAGAATGGGGGTTCTTTATTTGCTGCTGGAGCCTGCACTAAACAAGCCCATTGGTGAAGATCATTTGCCCAAAAAGAGATTTTCAGCGTAGTGGGGTAATAAAGAAGAAAGGAACATAGATACAGGTCTCCTGTATTGACATAGCACTGACTGCAGGGCAGCTGGACACAGGATAATAAAAAAGGCAGGCAGGACAATTGTTACTTTCAGCCACATTTATCATGCACCCAGTTTGCAGCTACTTCTGACTTCATTATGTTCAGCATCTGTAACCTGATGTCTGGTTCTGCTACATTTTTTGCTGCTGTCTGCTCACACGTTGTCCCTGCAATTAGATGGACTTATAAATGGTATTCTTTAAAAGATCTGATTCTGTTCAAGAATTTTGATGTTGCAGATATCTTCTGACTGCTATTTATTTAAGTAGGTGTTTTCTGACAAACTTAGCATTATCAGTGTAGTAGTTAAAAGGTTTGAGCTGTCCCTTAGGATGGGATTTTCTTCTAGCTGCAGTACCAACAAAGATTTTAAGGTGGATTAAAAATCCTTAATTTCCAGTATTACGCTGGGAGTGAATGAGGGTTTTACACTACATTTGTAAATTGCAAATAAAATACACCTTGCTACTCTTCTCTGAACTTCACCAAAATTGTGAACACCTCAGCATTTTACCAGTATACCTGAGTCTTAAATGTTCCTCTAGTTGGTTTTTTGAACCATTTTCCCTGCAGATTTCTGTTGTCCCTCTTCAGAAAACAGAACTATTGAAAAGAGTAAATTCTTACAGCTTTACATGAGATTGTACATACATGTAAAGCCAAAACTAAAGCTGAAACAGTTTCAGAACATGCTGCATTTCTACAAAAAAAAATTTCAAAACTCAAAAATTATGTTCCTGTAATAGTAACACCAGTGAAAAGCTGGACTGTAAATGACATCTATGATGGTAATAAACCCAGGGTAAACACTGGTTCTCAGCAGCATCCTGCAGCTGGTTGTTGATGCTGCCCTCTTGTTAGTGTGCTGCTCTGGCTGGGGCAGCCAGCAGTTCCTTGGCTCTGTGTGCCAAGGGACAGGGCAGGAGCTGCTGCCCCAGGCATTTTGGTGTAGCCATCACTGGCCTCCTTTATTCACTAGCCTCTTTTATTCAGTGCCATCAATTTTCTTTTTCTGACATCACTGTGCATTTACCATGAACAGTATGTCCCAATAAATGTATTCTAACACTCCTTGTTTTGGAAGGAGAAGATGAGGTTAGCAAGTCCAGCATTGGTCCTCTTCACCATTTACCTTCTCTAGCAGTAACATTTTGAACAGAAATAAAACACTGATCTGCATTATACTACTTGTGAAAGAGAGTGGATTTAGCTTCTTCTGTGAATACAATACAGACATACCACATACTGAAATGAAGTGCTCTCAGCCACAGGTCACTGTGTGACAGTATTAGATACTTGCTGTAGTGCTGACTGCTTCATTCTCCACCAGCACCATCCTTGTGTTTCATCTGCGTGCCTGTTTGTGTGCGTGTGTGGCTTTCACAGTGGCAGAAGAAGAAAAATACCCCATCTCTTTGGTTATTTACATATCTTGACATGCAGATTTTAGTTACCAGGTATTTTTAATTGACCAGCAGTTAAAATTGGTGATGTCATGGTTCCAGAAACATTCTTCGATGTTTTTCTCTGTCTTTACCAAAGGGTGCACTGATTCCATAGAAAAAATATACCTGGAAAGGAAGATTATTTTTCTTACTGTACAGTTCTTAATAACTGTATACGGAATATGCAAATCCCTCTCTTGGTTGGCTGTAGTAGTCCATCTGTTCTGACAGTATCTTGTATTAGATTATCCAAGACATTTGCCAGCATCTGAGTATTTAGCTTTGCAGCAAACCTCTACCAGAAGCAGAAAGAGGCTGCATTTTTATGAGAGCAAGAGAATTTACACAAAGCAAGCTAACTAGGCTTCAAGCTGCTGAAAGACTACTTACATGCCTGAGGAAAAGAAGTAAACAATCTTTTTTGTGTGTGCTGCTTTAACTGTAGCCTTTTCAGAGCCCTCTTTTCCTTAGCCTAAATGCCTCTTTTGCCTGCCAAGAATCAGGATGATTAAATGTCCTTTGAGTAGTGTTTAAAGCTGCATGATAAGAATACCTATCCTCCCGATGCAGTTTCATATAGTAAATATGAAAGGAGAACATTCCTTTCAGGCATGCTACCTCATTGCTCCTGAGACTCGCTTAAGGCAGAGATTTGAAATAACCCATTTTCTCCCACGGTGACATATGTGTAGCGTCCTTACCAGCATCTCCAGCAACATGCCTGCCTCTCTCTTGCTATTTATACAGCAGTGCAACTGAATTCAAAAGCAACAGCCTTACACAGACTAATTTTAAAGCAGTCCTCTGGTTTGTGGTTTTAAAAGGCGGCTACCAATAAAATTACAAATTTAAAAGAGCCCTAGAATCCTTTCTGTTGACCCAGTGTTAACGGTATTTTGAACTAAAACTGATTTTCCATTGTCCTCAAACTTGGGGGTGGGGGGAGAGTTATGCCAATATGTGATTATTCCTTCTTTTAGAAAAAGTGGTTATTTTTTTATTTCCTGATGATGCTGAGGATGAGACAACCATCAATACCAGCTGTTTCTTTTCCCCAGTTCTTAGAGTTTTTCCTTTATGATATATAGAAAGTGGTTGTATGGAGAAATGTTATCTAATGGTTTTCTTTGCTGTTGGATAATGCTTATATGAATGCTGTTAGAGCACATGTATTATTTGTGGTAAAACAATGCATGTTTCCATGTGTTAGCATTCATTCAGACAAACTGCAGGACTTGGGGAGCTATCTGTGTCTCCTGAAATATTTTTTTCTAAGTGTATTGCTTGTAAAAAGCAGATCCTTTTATTCATATTAGTCTCCAGATTTCCTTCCCCTTTTCTTTATTGCACGAGGCATTAGCATGGGAACACACTTCACGTTTCTCAGGCTTTTGTCTGTTCCTGCTGCGTTGCCTACTGGAAGTCAAACAGTACTACTTGGTTTCTGACACAACTGATTACTATGGAAATTATTACCATGTCATAAACAGAGGATTTCATGTGTCGAATGTGCAGCAGGAACGCAGATGATTCTGTAAGCAGAAGGTTCCTGGTAATAAGGAAAAAGGGAAGAGAAATGCAGAAAACAGACGATGCCTCTGCAAAATCCATTGTTGCCGATTCTTCTTCAGAAGGCATAGCCTGCCAGGAGCATGGGAATCGAGCAGTTTGCTGGGTTGCTGGTTTTTTTTTTTAATGAGTGAGAAGATAAATGTGAATTTTTGCTTCAAGAAATAATTATTTTATTTTGACTCCAGCAGTTGGTACTGGCCAAAGTGATTTCCGAGGGCATTCGATGTATGTCCCAGATCACTGTTCCACGCTAGGGAGACTAGACAGCTATCGCTCTGCTATGCAGCGCTCTGAAACCAAGGACACCAGCTGCCAGACGGAGGAAGTTAAAGTTGTGCCCCCTTCAATGAGAAGAATACGAGCGCAGAAAGGACAAGGCATTGCAGCCCAGATGTCTCAGTTCTCCAGCTCATCTGGAAACATGTCCGTGATGAGTGATTCTGCTGCAGTTATATTTGCTTCTCGCCAAAATAACGACATAGGTTTTCACAGCTTGCCTCGGGTTGGTGCAAGAGTGTCTCTGCAATCCCTAGATCAGACGCAGAGCATGATGTCGAGGCAGACAGAAGACATTGCTGACACTTTACCCCACCAGATAAGCAAATTGCAAGTGGATGATAGTGTTGTACATCTGAGGAATAATCCCACGATGGGGACCCTGTCGAGGCCGAAGTCCCAAGAGGTGAGAAGCTGTGACAGCGAGAAGCCCTCAAGCCCAGCATGTGTGGTCTCTCCTCATGCCACTTACTCGACGAGCATCATACCCAATGCAACACTGTCATCCTCCTCGGAAGTTATCCTTATTCACGCTGCCCAGAGTGTTGGATCATTGGATAGTAAAATTTCCAGCTCCGCTGCCTTTCCAAATCCAAGAGACAATCCTGCTGCCAGCAGTGCAATAAGTGGGAAAGAAGATCACCATTCTTCAAGTGGTAACTGGAGTGAGAGTAGCTCCACACGTCACTCACAGACCTCAGATACCATCCCATCTAACACTGTCATGATGCTTTCTCTTGGTGACTCTGCTGTCTCTCTAAGCACTCCTGGGAATGCAGAGTCTGGGCCTCAGAGCATGAGCTACAGCTCTAGGAACACTGCAGCTTTAGCAAGCCCATCCCAGGACAGCGACGGTCGGAGTGAATCCAGCTATTCTGGGGAGCGAGCACAGGCAGCAGTGAGCAGCCCAGAGCATTGGTTGTACAAGTCTTCAGAAGGCAGCGAGACCCCTTCTCGCAAGGTGGTTTGTACCACACCAGGCTGTGCCACGCCCGGCAGCAACCTGAGCAGCAGCAGCCTGGAGAGGACATCAGTCAGGGATGATTCTACTTCCCTGTATTCTGTGGACCACGATGGCTATTACGGCTCCATGCATGTGGACTCCGGACTGAAGTCAGACATGCCGTGCAGCAGTACTAATGGTTTTGAGAACCCCAGAGACAGCGTGATAAATGTCTTTGAAGGAAAGGAGAAGAAACATCAGGATGACCACTCAGGCCAAGGTGACAAGTCCCTTGCAAGAAACATCTCGCTGAAAAAGGCAAAAAAGCCACCTTTGCCACCATCCAGAACAGACTCACTCAGAAGGATGCCTAAGAAAAAAACCCAATCCAATGGACAGGTACTTGATGAAACTCTCATTGCCACCCTCCAGCATTCCCTGCAGCTGAATCTCAAGTGCAAAAACGGCAGCTCCCCTTCCCAGAGCCCCTGCAGTGATTATGAGGATCCCTGGGTGCTGCGCTCCCGCAGCCAAAGCTCGGTCAGTGCGAGCAGCAGCATGATGTCCACCACTGCTCCAAACCTGTACTCCATCTGCACAGTCACCCCGTCCCAGAGTGAAACAAGTAGCATAAAGTCGGAGTATGCTGACCAGTGGGGTTACTACAGCGACTATGCCGCGGTGGCAGATGACCAGGTGAAATCTCCAGTGACCCATTCTGCCAGTACATCATCTGCTCTCAGCGATTACAGCATCAGCCACTTCAGTGATGGCTCAAGGGCTTCTGTGCCACAAGTGCCCAGTGGACTGGCCAAACCAAAGAGTGCTTCTCCAGAGAAATCCCACCGAGTCACATCGCCATCGAGTGGGTACTCTAGCCAGTCCAATACACCCACTGCGCTTACTCCAGTGCCTGTACTTGTACGGTCTGCATCATCAGGAAATGGCAAATCCAAGCTGAAGCCTAAAGTGCCTGAAAGGAAGTCCTCTCTTCTGTCTTCAGTCTCCATGTCTTCATCATCCACTTCTCTTTCTTCAAATACATCTACTGAAGGGAGTGTGAGTGTGAAGAAACTGGACCCTGCCCTGAGCCCTCCTGTGGATTCTGGTGCACCTCCTCCAGCACATCCTCTTCCAACACCTCCACATTGCCCTGAACTTTCTCCTCCTCCTCCTCCTCCTCCAGCAGAAGTCATGGATCTGTCACCATTGTCAGCCTCTCCCACGTTCCCCCCTCCTCCGCCAGAAGCCAGTGTAAATTCTACCTTCGCTCAGACTGTCCCATGGTTTCCACAAGAAGCCTCCATCAGTTCATTCTCTTCCCCTGTTCCTCCTCCCCCTTCTTGCCCCTTAGCTGTCCCACCACCTGCACCACCGCTTGATCCCAAAATAACAAAAGGTGCAACAGTATACCCGCAGTATTCTTTTAAGAAACGAAACCAGGAGGATTCTTGCTATAGTCCAGTGAAACAGCCACTCCACAAGCAAGATTCATCGAGACCTGTGATGCCATTAGTAACCACCAAAGCACTGCAAATGGTGCAGTTGAGGTCCGTGAAAAAATCAACAGAAAGTGAACCATCAACTGAATCTGCTTCTGAAACCACCTCTCAGGAAAAGAGTACTGCTAATTCATCGGCACAGTCTTTGCTAAAGCCATCTCTCTCACTAAAATTGAGTTCCAGCTTAGGCGATGGGGAAATGAAAACTCAAGGCACTTCATTTAAAAATGCAGTTCAAACACTGTCTCGGGGTTCTCCTCTCATTCTTTCTGATAACACACCTGTAATTGATAGTGATCAAAAGCCTGTGAGTGCAGTAGATCTGAAGAAATCTTCTGAAGCCAATGCTCTGGGGTCAGCCTCTGATGACACACCTGAGTCCTCAGTGCAGAGTGAAGACGTCCCTTCTGGCATGTCACTTCAGGGGTCACCAGCATCTCCTGACAAGACTCAGGTTGTGTTGCCAAGCAAGAAACCACCTCCTATTTCAAAGAAACCCAAACTGTTCCTTCTGGTACCACCTCCACAGTTAGACCTTACAGTGGAGAAAGCAGCTGAAGTGAGTGATACTGCCAGAAGCCCAACTAAGAGAGACGCTGTGCTTGCACACTCAGAGGAGACGAGAAATTGTCTTACAGATGGACTCGGTTCTAGCGAGATGGACTCTGGCAGCCTGGTTCCTGAGGGAGGAGCTGCTGGATTCACCTTCTCTGAGACAGTGGGAGCAAATGCCTTTGTGGTACAGCCTGCTGCATCACCAGTTCAAGAAGAACCCAGGCAGGAGGAGCAGTCTGCTTTTGATGAAGGAAGCAGTTCGGGCAGCAGCCAGGACAGTGGCAGTAACGCTGACGGGCACCTATCTCAGGAGAACGAAAGCGGTGAGTCTCTCTTCTCTGACTAATTCAGATGCAGCAGTAGCTATTTTGAAGAAGGTGGGGAGTGAGAATAGCCATCCTAGCATTGAGGTGGCATTCTGTAGAGGGCAGAGAGCCTCTAGTGATTGTTACGACTGAAAAAAAGTTGCCGGGATCTGATTAATACTTTATGACATTTCATTCAATTGCTTTGTGGCTTCTCATTGTTGCAGACATGAAAAGAAAATGATGCTTTATTTAACCATGCTGGTATTAAAACATGCTATGAAAGCAGTTAATTTGTTACTACTAATTTTGCATTTTAGTGGAAACCTTACAGATTTTCTTTTGTTTTCTTTTCTTGTGTGAGCAAGCATAGGCATTTATTTCATGCGCTGCAGTTCCCATAGCAAGCGTTGGAGCTGAAATCACAATAATGACAGCGCTGCACTCAGTCCATCGGGTGCTTCTCCTTGGAGGCAGCAAGGGCTGTTTTCAGGGCTATGTGCCCATGGGGCTCACACAACAGACTGACTGTGTTGTTCATTCTTTTTGCATAGTGGAGGTGTTTGAATCAGACACAGCCAATAGTTCATTCCTGCCAAGCAGTAGTTATGGGGAAGAGACGGATGGAGTGGCAACACCAGCAAGACCAAGGACTACTGAGGATCTTTTTGCAGCCATTCACAGGTACTGCAGAAACTGCCATTCCTGTACTGTCGGGTCCGGTAGGTCTCTCAGAAATAAATTCAACATTGTTTTATGGAACACCCAATTACAACAGTCACGGCTTTAACAGAAAGCACATATTTCTCAACTTTCTACTAAGGCTATATGTGAAAAAGATTAGGAAAATAACTTGAATTTTATTGTTTTATAAATGTATTTAATCCATTCTGAACTAAAACCTACCAGATTAAATGGATGTAGATTACATTATAAATACCTTGCCCTTTAAAATACCAAGTTACGTCTAGTATTTATTGTACTGTTCTCAATCTGCCATATTAACTCTACTGTTGCTTTTTCTGTGTATCTTTTTGTTTTCATTCTTGTTCTTCTCCATCTCTTTTTACTCTCTTCGCTGCTTATATGGTGCAGTTTGGGACAGAGGCTCAACGCTAATGCTTCATGGCAAGCGTGGCTGAAACTGGCAAGTAACACAACATGTCAGTCATATGGCAAAACATATGGCAAACGCTGGATTATAGTTTGCCATAATCCAGCCTGAGGTCGGGTGTTTTGTGTCAAACTGGTTCATGAATGAAATGTGCAATACTGGCTCTATTATTAATGACATTATTCATTTCCCTTGAAAACAAAATCATCCCGAATGGCAGCTAGATTTACATGCTGTTCACATAAGGTGCTCAGGAAGAAGAAAACCCAAGGAAACCCAAGGGCAGAGCAGGGAAGGCGGGCTCCCTTGGAGCGGCGCTCCCTTGGAGCGGCCGGAGCCGCCCCGGGCCCGGCTGGGCGTGGCGCCAGCGCCATCGCGTGGCTGCGCCGCGCACTGCAGGGCGCAGAGGGGCCGCCTCCCTGCCGGGGAGCGGGGATTATCCAGGTGTTCATCTGTTTGCTCATCTGTGCATCGGGAATGAGGGACGGGGAGAGAGCGGCTGGGAGGCTGCAGCATTTTGGATGCAAATGCTATTTTTCTATTCATTTTTTGAAACAAGTCCTTTCCAGACATTACAAAAAATACAAATATATGATACTGACTTTTTATAATTTACTGTTGCCCCTTAGGACTTGGCCTGTATAAGCCATTCTGACAATGGCCTGTTGCATTCATGTTGCATGGCGGTCTCTAAAACGGTGTCAAATCTGGCTTTAGAATGAGATATTCTGGCCAGTAGCCATTCTCTTTCATGTATGCAGATAGAGAGTGGATTTCTGTGTATATGCACATACCTGTAATTCATGAATTTGTGGGGAAATGGACAATGGAACTGGATGTGACATACTTAGAACTGCTTGACACATATTTTATTAAGACCTTGCTTTTGCTGGCTTTGGACTTGAACCACTTTCTTCCTTGGTTGCTAATTAATTAAAAAGGTTTAGGTTTTTCCCCCACTCTTTCTGAGTGGTATTATTTCAGTAATTGGCACTCTTGAAGATATTCTTTGGAGCAGGACAGGAAATTTAGTGGTATGTGCATTAGAACACAGGAAGAACAGTCTGAAGTTTTAAGTGATAGTTTTGTTTGAACATATACCCTATCTGTGTCTGAAAAGCCACCAAAACCAAATTTGGTTCTTAATTTCAAGTTTCTTCCATGATTCATACATACTGAGAAAAGCTGGCTAGGTGCTGACAGCAAACTGACTGCTCTGTGCTGCATCCACAGCCTTACCGGATCACTCCAGGCTAGGGCAACAAAATCTTTCCCTGCAGATCTTTGCAGCTGATTTTTTTTTCATTCAATTTGAGGTTTAATTTAATTTAATCTGGGTAACAGTACAACCTCAGCATTGCAGTGTTTAAGGATATCCATAGGCATCCAAAACCCTAATGAAGGAATGTATTTTCCCTGTAACAAATGCACACACATGTTCACACAGACTCGTGGAGCATCCAAGCACCAAAATCATCTGTTGCCCACAGCACTAATGCACAGTTAAATCTAGATGAGGTTCCTACACTGGCTGCTCCTGAAGTCGTCATTATATCTCTTTGCTGTCTTCTGTGTCCATTCATCCTCAGGCTGAATGGACATAAGTATTACATTCTTATTCCAGAAAGACAGGTGGAGGCAGCAGCAGCTGCTGAAACTAACAGCTGGTACAGCTGCCTTTAGGGGTACCACAAGTGAGCTATGCATGAATTTCACCACTCAGGAGAGACAGGATCACGCCAAAGTCTTGGCACAGCGTATAGCAATGTCTCTTGCTGCAACCTACTCAGCTGATGGATCCTACTTCTTTGTTTTCAGGGGGTTTTTAAATTACTAATGGGCTATGATGCATGAACACATTTGAACTTGTCTTGGCAAAATCTCAAGGCTTTTAAGAAAGTAAAGTTCACATTAAGTAGAAATCTATTTTAAAAGGGGAATGGTCTGGATTGAACACATGCTTGATAAAAATTAATATGGAGTTTTATAGCATGATAATTTTATATCTCTAA